GATGCCAGGGATCAGTTTTTCTCCCCAAGGCAGTGCTGTTCACATTTGATTACACTGAGGAGTAAAATGTGGTGCCATGCTTCAAATACTTTGAATGTCTTGCAACACAGGAAGATAAATTACCAACTTGTCCATCACTTACACTTAGATTACTTTGACCACCTGTGCTTTATGCTCCTTTTATTTTCTTTATGCACCTTTTATTTTCTTTATGCACCTTTTCATAAGAAAAAATTGATTTTCAGATATGCATAGGCTGTGCTTTTAGTTTACGCATAATGCAGATGAGGGGAGAAGCTAGCTAGAAGCAAAATCAGAGTTTAGATTGACTGTTGATAAGGGTGACATTTCCTTAAAAGACCTTTTTTTTTTTTTTCTTTACCCTGCACATCACAGAGATTTTAAATCCTCATTGACTTCTGAAAACACAGCTCTGGGAGGCCAAAGGATGATATATTCTTAACGAGTGTGTAAAGTATAGTAGTTTTAAAGACAATAGATGCGAGGTCGTATTAGGGCAAAACAGTTAATTACCCACTTCGTTATTGTCAAGGTTAATACAGTATTTGAGCACAGAAGCTGTTTTTCATCTCCTTTTGGAAACAAGGCAAGACAGCATTTCTTACAGACAGATCCATTATAGCTTATCACCGGAGGACAGACCGCTACAGAAGCGCCATGAAGGATGTCTACTGTCACCGGGCTCCAGAGCAAACGCCAAAGCTGTCCAGAGAGCAATGGAAATGAAATGAGAGCTACAGCTTCAGAGTACCGCGCTTTAATTCACCGAGATTGAGCCCCATTGATTTCATGTGTGATGGTAACAGTAGCGTAAAATTCGCCAGCACTCCTTCATCTCTTGTAACATTGATCCCTCCTAAATTGCACAATGCGCTGAAAAACGTCCTTTAATAAACACAGGATATCGACTATAGCAAATCCCATCTTTCCATGGTGAACCCAGTGAAAGCTGCACCTGCGGTAGGGCTCGATCTGCTTTTCGTGCATGCCAGGGTGTTGTACAGGTTTCCATTACATGATCTTCCTAGACAGAAACAAAGGCCTCATCAATCTTAGCCCATCAACCTTCGCAAATAATGCTTTGCTTTTAATTATCTACTTCACCTGCAACAACTTTGAAAATGCCTTAAGCTTAAAAATGTGGAGACCAGTAAGTGGTTAAAGAAAAAAATTAGAAAAAACCCTACATAAATAGATACAGAATATGTATAAAAATAGAATGCCCTTCCTATATGGAAACACAAGTTGTGGTTTTGAGTTTATAAAGCCTTTAAAACTGCAAAAACTAGTCTAGTTCCTGTGAAACTATTTACCAGGTTAACCATGTTTATATCGCTTTCGCTGTAGCCTTTATCTGTTCCATTTTCTTCCAAGGTTTTTGTTTTGCTTTTGAAGTCGGAGCTAGAATTTCCCATCTTTTGTGATTCCTGCTGTTGTGTTTCAGGCCCGGGAGGCTTTCCCTCCGCTCACCGATGCAGCGCACGGCCTGGTGATGCAGAAACCCGAGTCTCCGTTCCCAAAGCAAGGTCCCCACATCAGCAATTCGGTCTTCCCACTGAACTCGTACCTTTGAGCCTGGGTGCTTCTGGCCCCGGTGCTAACGTTAGGCTCTTGGGTTTGGGAATTTGGGCCATGGTTACGGCCGTTCTCAATCTCTGGCTTCTTTCTGCAGATGCCGCGTTTCCCAGGAAAGCTGCGGGTGCTGGCGAGCCCCCGGCACTTTCTCTGTAGTAAATGACTGCAGGACAGGATACCGTGGCACAACATATGTTTCATTCTTTATAACATCTTTGATTCTGTTTTTTAGGTTTTGATGCTCTGTGGGCATCCTTACAGAGCAGTTATTCTTATTACTCTTACAGAGTGATACCTGCTTCGGGATATTAATTTGGCTTTTAAACCTGGTAAATTGTTCTGCCCAACAGGGAGGCACCCACTGTATTTCAGATTTGTGGATAAACATCTGAAGTTCTATTCAGATAGCAGAATACTTGACAATGTAACGTATCTCACAGGGTCTCAGTGAAACACTTCCTAAACTCTCAGCTCTATGAACACTATTGTCTTTTGGCAGGAATAACGCTAGGTGTTTCCCTGGAAAAAAATCAATCTCATATGGGCTGTCTGATTTAGCTAGAGGAGCATCTCACCAAAATGTATTGTCTTTTCACATCAGGCTAGTGCTAAATTTAAAAACAAGCCAAAGCAAATAGAAACGTTGTTGTTGTTATTAATAATAAATAATTTTCACAATGATAATAATTGTTAGTAATAAAGCACTGACTATTCTGTAAAAAATGTGCCTCTGGCATAGGTAAGTTTTATCCTCTCTGTGTGCTGGCCCTTTTAATCTACTCATAGAGAGGAGCCTGAAGCAAGTAGGAATTACAGCCATCACCCTTGCAAGTCAGTGTTTGCCAGTGGTCATCCTCAAAGTGCTGGGAGAAAAGAAAAGGGCTTTAGTTCTTAATCCCCTTAATTTCCATCAGCCGGGATGAGGCAGCACCGAGGTCGCAGAGCTAACCAAGACTGCTTCATCAGACTGGGGCTTCAGTGGCAAATGCTTTTTATGGGAAATCGGAGCTTCCTGCAAGACCATTTTACTATTAGTACTTTCGTTAAATCCTCATAAGCAAAAAGGTGGCTCCCAAGCACGCACCTGTCAGCAGAAAATCCCTAAACTGCAGGGTTTTGTCATCGGTGGATTCCCTAACACATAAACCCTCAGCCACATTCCTCTAAATCTTCCTTCTGAAGGTATCTAAAAATCCTGCTTCCAGAGAGCATCTGCTTGGAGGAGCAGAGGGAAAACTCCCCTTTTCTATAACCGAAGAGGCCGCTCTGCTCCCAGGGGCTCCCTCTGGCTCCAAGGTCCTTTTGTGCAGCCGCAACGCGGGTTGCTCCAGGAGACCTCTCCTTTGTGAAGGCCAGTCCCGCAGAGAGTATTAAATTGGCATTTTAGTCCTTGGCACGCATTTGCCCAGGGGAAGCAGGGTGGCAGTTGGGTATTTCAGTCTTGTTTTCAATTATAAGCATTTCATTGTCGAATGTTGCTGCTTTATTATGTGATAATTAAATATGAATGATCACGCAGTCATCCTGCCAAAGAGGCTGTAGCCGAATTAAACCAATTCCTCTCGTCTTGCTGAATGGCTTCGGAGCCGAGAGGAGTGATCTATTTGCTGTCCCTTATTTTTGCTGTCCTATTGTTTCGGTATCACTAGCTTCAAAATAGCGAACTAGGCAAGTAATTACGGCCATAAATCAGAGCAGGGATCAGCGTGAGGTCAGGACTGCTTTGCTTGTAGTCTGGCGTTTCTCAGCTGTCTTTTGCTGAATGACGGAGAAGTACACTGCTGTTAATTTGGGGGGGGGGGGGGGGGAGCGGGGAGGGGAAAAGTGATTTTATTAGTGATGAAATACCTATTTTGACAAAGTCTGAGTCCCTGCGTGCTTTCAGGCAGGGGCTGAGCCGCCTCACTGTGCCTGGAGCAGAGCCTCCTCCATCAGCATTGCCGTGCATGAAGGGCCCGTGGCCAGGCTCGACACCGCGGTCGGCAGCCGATGTGCCACGGTCAGCACCTGGTGTGCCACGGTCGGCACCTGATGTGCCACGGTTGGCACCTGATGTGCCACGGTTGGCACCTAATGTGCCACGGTCGGCACCTGATGTGCCACGGTCGTCAGCCGATGTGCCACGGTCGGCACCTGATGTGCCACGGTTGGCATCCAATGTGCCACGGTCAGCACGCAGCGTGGGCAGGCTGCCGCTCGCAGAGGGACAGCTCCTTGGGGTGACCACAGTCACTGCTTAAAAAGCCAGCAAGTTGAATAAGATACGGCTGTAGGTGTTGAACTGAAGCAGATCAGCAAAGCAAATGTGTTTTCCAGTCGAGCCACACTGATTTACGGCCCTGGCCCTTAATCTGTACATCCTGTTCTTGTGGGGTGTTTCTAATCATGAAGCGGCGCTCAATGGGAGTCAACTGCTGAAAGATGGATGCAACCACGTGTTACAATCTTCAGATGGTACGAGGTAGAAATAGTCAATCTTTCTTGAAGGAGAGCTGTAACCAAGCACTGCTCGCCTCCCATCCTACCAGCAGCACCAGTGTTTTGGACAGAAAGGAGTAGGGATGGGCAGGGGGTTGTGGGCAGTCAGTGGTAGCAAGTTCATGTGTGTGGTGCTCCTGCTCACTCGATATCCGTGGCTGGGGGATCCCCAGGGGACTTGCAATATTATGACACAAACAGGGCCACCACTGCTGCCACCACATGGCATCCGTGATGTGGATGTCCCAAAGCCACGGTTGTGCACAGCAGTTTGCTGGATGCCGTGTATTGTAAGGAGATGTAGTTAAGTATATTCTCCTCTTCCCCACGTGTCTCTGATGCTAAATTAACTAAGAGGCAATCCCCAGCGGTAGTTCTGCCACCCGGGAACATACCGTTTTGTAAAGAAAAAGCAAACCCAGTGCCTACTAAACTATACGCTACTTTCCATTCCAACAGTTTGTTAAAATAACACGTAGAAGTGACCACTGAATGATTTTCATTTAACTTATCCGTACCCTGTAAAACAGATTCAGCCCACCAATTTGGCTTGATGTAGACAACTGAATAATAAAAAAGAAATAATAAGTAGTGGTTTTAAATGTCTCTGCTGTTGGCTGCTGACCACCCACCTCTTAAATTGGGCTTTTTAAGAGTGTCTTGGGGTTGCATGCCAGATCTCAGCTTATGATGTGCACCACATTTAACCCATCTTTGTTCATTCATTTCTGCCTGTCCTTTTGTAAGTATTTATTGAGATTTTGTTTTTCTAGCAGTGGGTTATTCTGAGGTATGTGACTGAAGGACGTAACGCATCGCTATGGGTATTTCTGGGTGAATCATGGACTTTTTTTCTTTTCGGTGGTTTTCTTGGTCAGATATTAAACGAAGATCATTATTTAATCAAAGCAATTTTTTATTCCCAGACAATAGTTAGAGGTAATAAGCCTCGAAAGGATACTTCAATCAACGGCCTGCTGGAAGAGTTTGACAATATCTCAGTGACACGATCCAATTCCCTGCGGAAGGAGAGTCCTCCCACCCACCACCAAGGAAATGCAAACCACGTGCCAAGGCACCAGGAGGAAAATGGTTATATCACGTATTCCCAGTACTCCAGTGAGTCAGACACAACAACAGACTATGTCGTGGAAAAATATCGAGACAAGACTCTGTACGGGGAAGAGTTAGACAGGTACTACAAAGGGAGCTATGCCACCAAGCAGAATGGGCACATGATGAAGGTGACTTCCCGGGACATCTATTATTCAGAAGTGACGCCGCTGCAGTCAGACCTGGCCAGGTTCCTCCCAGATTACCATGCACACCTGGAGACGAAGCCCAAACCACTGGAATACGGCGGCCTAAAGCTGGAGTACCAGCGGATCCCCAGCGGATCCTCCCTGGACTATAGAGATCCTTTTCCCTACGCCCCGTCCCGAGCGTCAGTGCAGAGCGAGTGCCCCAAGGAGAGGCTGGAGTACAGCGACGGGGACTGGGGACATGGCCTGGGCAAGGATGAGTATGACAAGAGGCCGAAGTCATCCTACGTGGACCCAGCAAGCCCTCAGCCAGCGATGAGGCAGAGGTCCAGGTCGGGCTCTGGGCTGCAGGAGCCGGCCATGCCCTATGGAGCAAGCGCTTTTAAAGCACACCAGCAAGGACATTCCTACAGCTCCTACACCTACCCCCGCTTGTCCGAAACCGCAGCAGGCATCCCCAAGGTAACGTGACATCCCCGGTGACAGTGCTGCCGAGGCAGGGATCGACCTCTCCGGAAGGGGAGTGCGAAAAAATTAAGCGCGTGCAAGAATTTCGGGGCAAAGAGCCGTGCTTGGGCATGCGATGCCCAACGTGGCCGGTAACATCCCCGGGAGTTGCGTGTGAAAGCCCACCCGCGTTACTCAGGTATCTGAAAGTAGATGTCAGGGACCGGTGGGCTTAAGAGATTTATTAAAAAGCAGGATGGGAGATGCTCACCTTCTGGGGGTTTTACTTGGGATTCCAAATAACCCCACGTTCTTTGGCAGTTTTGGTAGCGATAGGCATTTGTACGCCTGTGCAGATCTCAGCAGGAGGTGAGAAGTTGGTCTGCTTTGTTATCGGATACTTTCATATTTGACTTGTTACTGTGCAAGGCCAAAACCTCTGTGTTTCAATATTTATATTATGTTTATGCCATATTTATATTGCAAGGTTTATTAACCCTTTGCTGCTAATGAAAGTAGGGGTTTACTCGTCTCTGCTTTGGTTTTAAGCAGTGAAATTAAATCAAAGCAGCTTATCTCACCAAAGACCTTTTAGATGTAGTTAAAAAAAAAAAAAAAAAAAAAGATTAAGGTGCCAAAAATCATTTCAACCATGATATCTACAAGTGGCTCAAGTGGCTCCTCCGCACAGATTTGTAGCCTGCTCTGCCTTTTCTAAGTCACACAAGGAAAGCTACCCATACAAGCTGTCCTACCCTACTTGCAATAGTTTGCTGTAACTATTTGTTCAGTTAAGAGAATAATGCTTTTCTTACACATCTACGATGGTGACCTGCTTAAATGTCTAATATTCTGCAAGAGATGTTTTTTCTTCGGTGTAGATTGCACTGAACATTACTGAGTTCCCCTAGCAACGGGCACCGAGATGATAGCTCATTTTTCCAGGGCTGAAGCAGTCTTGGGTTGCTGTGACTTACCAGATGTGCTGAGGTAGGTAGCTTGCTAGGTGGTGAGATGCACTCTGCTGTTTAATGATGATCTGAATGGTGCATATTCTTAATGGCCCTGTGCACTGAGAATGCGGTCCTGTCCAGCTGCAGACCCAGAAGAAGTCCCAGGTCTCTGCAAACCCACGATAGCCCTATGCTGGAGGCATGCCTGTGTCTTGCTTGCTCAGGTTTTGGCTGTTTTGCTGATCCTGTGGTGTAGATTTATAATCAGTGCCCGGCGGTAAATGGAGAGCGATGCGTTTTTATCCCACACTGAATTAAAGCGCAGAGCTGGGCTTTGGAGGTTGATGATAAATCAGGAGGGGGGAGTAGAAAAGTTACCAGGTCTCTTTGCGTGCCTTTCCCGAGCTCGGGGTGTGGTGGGAGGGATGCGTGTGGGTAGCTAACTGTGCACCAGAGTGTGGCATTAAAGATGGATTCTGGAAGTTGTGAGGAAAGCCTGGGATGAGCTATCTGCCATTTCCTTCATTGAAAACAATCATTTTGTCAGTGTTTAGAAGGGAGAAGGACAAATCCAGTAATTCACAGACTCTCTTGCACCTGCTGCCGCCAGTTTTGCAGCATTCAGTAGGGCAGAAGACAGAGGTATATTTTACAGGACTCAAAGCACTCCAGACACTTTGAGAAATATCCCATTAAAATGCAGTAACAACTTCTATTAAAAAAAAAAAAAAAAAAAGAATGCCTCCACGCAAGATTCATTGTGAGCTGTTCCCCTCCTCAGAGCATCAAAAACACTCCTTGTTGTATTGAAACTTGATGATTCACTGTTAAATGCAGCAGTTTCAATTCCCAAACCCATCCACGGCTCCTGGAAAAGCGAATAGCAGTTTCTTGTTTTGGATGATTGCTGAAGACTCTTCTTTTCAAGGAGGTGTTAGTAAGATAATGGTTCATCAAATGGGCTTGCTAAATGTGAATCAGGTCTCAAATCAGATAGTTTACAAATGAGGTTGGTTTTAAGTATAATTAAAAGGGGGAAAGCAGTAAGCAGCGCCAAAGTCTGCAGGCACAAAGGTTTGGCTTCTGACTGCCACAGATGTTCGTTTTGGCTCGTAAATGTGAAGAGCAGACTTACTTCGGTATTATTTGCAGGTGACAGAGGTCAGATAAATCAGATGCCTGCCCTGTTTCCTCATCAGTGATTTCAGAGGTATTAGGTCAGAAGGCTTCCACTGCGTTGGGCTTGGCCACCACCGTGCAGTGGGACCGTGGAGGTGTAGGAAGCTGGAGGCTCAGATTTGGTTCCCTCCAGTCCACCCCCGTGTTACCCACCTGCTCTATTCCTGCAGACTAACTCCAGTAACACTTGCATGGGCTCACAGCCTCTGCTCCGTTACCCTCACCGCACAGAGATTACATCCCGCTTCGTTCAGTGGAGTGTCCTCAATATTGTCACGCAATATCAAACTCATCCTTGCCAGGTCTGCTTATTTTTGGACATTCTGTACTGCGTGTTTTCTTTTTACCCTCCTCTTCATCGCATCTTAACTTTTTGCACCAGATCTTACGATTTCAAAGCTCCTTTCCCTGTCATTTTGCAGTAGCAGCTCTCTGTGACTCGCTCTTGTCCCTCCTCCAAGGGGCTGTGATTCTGCTCTCCCCTTCACTACCTCATACTGCGGTAATGTAGTGGAGGGCTCTTCCTAATCTGGCCACTGCTCAGCACCGCCGTTTTCCTGCTTCGTGTTTTGCAGGTCCCCTGCACCAGGAGGACATTTCCAGCCTGATGAGGGCAGAGCCAAGCCTTTACTATCAGAAACCCCCTCCTTTTCCCCCTGTTTTCTCAATTCCCATGCCAGTAGCATTCCACAAGCCCTGCCTGTCGCCTCCGTGCGTAGAACAGGGGGTCTCGGAGATTCCCACCAGCGAAGCACCCGGGAGTAACCTTTCCCCTTGCAACCTCCGTGTCACTTACAGAGCGTCCCTTCCACCCCTTTTTTCTTTCAGCGAACCTAATAAAAATCGAAATCCGTTTGAGGTTTACTGAAGGGTGAGCCCCCCTCGGCAGGGGCGTGCCGCTGCCCTAGCAGGGTGTGGGCTCCGGCACCTCGCCCTCCAGGCTGCCTGCCTCGCAGGGAAGGGACCCCCGTAGCGGCAAGGGGGTGTTTCCTCCGCGGGCAGGACAAACCAGGCATCGCTGTCATCCGAGGGGGAAACTGAAATGGGTTGGAACACAGTGTTACGTCCACCTTTTAGCAACAAAAAGACCCGACTGCCGGCGTGGCCGTGTGCGGAGGCGGGCGAAGCTGCGAGCCGGTGAAGCGACCCAGCCGGCAGCAGCAGGGAATTGCCTTGCACCACGGCGCCGTGATGGATGTCGTGTCAGAGCTTTGGCTGCTCCTTTGACCTGTTCTTGAATGAGCGCAGGACTGGTTTCTTCTCTCCTTTGTAGTATCTAAAGAATTTCTTTTCAGTAGGTAACTGCGTTCAGCAGCAGAAATAGAATTATTAGCGGAATGACGCGCGTTCGATTTTGCCGTGGTGTGAAACACTGCGTCAGGACACAGCCTCCGAGGAGAGTTTCAGCTGATCGACTCGTTATAGCGCCTGCCTTTTTGTAAGATTTCATGGGATTCGGGACGTGAATGAGTTTACATTGTACCGCAGTGCCAAGCTCAGAAAGCTTTCAAAAAGTCTTAGCAAGCATACATTTCATTTTAAAATTTCACTGCGGAATTTACTTCTGCCAACGTGTTAAGCTTAGGATGTGCTCAGAAATATCAGGCATGGGTGAAGCCTCAAATAATTCGTTAGTGTGGCCTTATCTAGCTTGAATTTCTAAACAAAGCTTTCCCCATCTCAACAGTTAAAATAAAATGGTGTATTTACAGCCAAAGCAATAATTTATGTGTCCCGACGTACACAGATAGATAGGACAGGGCTAGATTGAGTTCCCCCCCTTCCACCAAGCCATCTGAGCACTTTTCCGTGTTAATTAGTTTGGCAGACGTAATGTTCTTCATGAAATTCATGGTGTCTCTGGCCCCCTTCTATTTTATGGCTACCCCCCCGCCTGATAGAGTAAGTGAAATTATGGCTGTAATCGTGTGGATGTTCTGCTGTAACCAAATGAGCATCCTGGGCGGTGGCCGTACAGCACGGTTACGTGCTCGCTGGGTGCTCCGCTCGGCCGGTGGCTGTCAGCGTGCGAGTCTCAGAGGGAAGCAGCTCCAGCTTCACGTTTCTGAGGGAAATCTCTGAGCGTCCCCTCTGGAGAGGCATTCCCTCTTCCCTGCTAAACCTCACGCGAAATGAAAAGACGGGCACGCCCGGCTCACGCATGAGGTAGGAAAGTGCTGATATAATATTGCACTCGGAGGCTTTGCTCCCCGCACTGAGGCGACTCCAGCCAGAAACTCCTCCTCGCTGTGCAGCAGCCTACAGAGATAAATTGATGCTGCGGCAGATTTTTTTTTTTTCTTCTTTTTTTTTTTTTTTTTTTTTTTTTTTTTCTGCAGTCTTAGCATAAAACGGTCAAATGATGTTCCACCGCAGAATTCAATTTCACAGTTCAGTTGGGTCCTTGATTACACTGCCAGATTCAGATTAATGTGCATTTAACTAACATGGATCAGGGACTCCTGGCCGGCAGCCAGCAGTAATAGTAGCAACTGTGAGCTGTGTAGAGTTTGCTGCTCTGTCCACCCCCGTGCACCGCCACCGAAATTGATTGATTAAATGAACTCGTTGCCATAATTATTTGTAATTGTGCTACATCATGAGCCTGTGTCAAACCATCTCCCTGCCCCAAGAGACACCGCGCATTGTCAGGAGTCACATACGTTGTATCATAAATGTGGACATCCTCTTTTCCAGGGGAAAAAAAATATATCTTTATTTTGGGTTGGGGTTCTTTGTCTTACATCCTTTTTTTTTTTTTTCTAGTTTGGATAGAAACACACTATTACATTTGCGAATGTGAAGTATCTATTTGCTTATAGTGTAAAAAGCTTAGGAAAGCTTGGAAAATAAGAAGAAGGAAAGGAACCTGCAAATGAACAAGGCCTCCCATCGGGATAATTTCCTCTGTGATTGTCTCTGATTTCAGATGAAAATTAGCAGTTTCGTGACACTGCAGTTAAGTAGTGTGTCACTCTGGAAAATGATTTAAGAAATGGTAAATTGAATTAGGCTCCTCGGCATACTCATGTATGCAGTCATTCAAACAGCAGCCAGTAGCAGGGCGGGAGATGACAGGGATTTCAGGGTGCCACCGCCTCCGCAAGAAGAGGTTGGGTCGTCCCTGAATTGCTGGAGAAAAGCGTAAGAAAAGATGCAGGGCTGAGAGTCAAAACCCAGAAACTGGTATTTGAAAGGAAAGACACAAATTGGAATTTGCCAAAGGGCTGCTGGTTGTGAAAGGGATGAATTCTTTGAGGAAATGGCCCAGAGAGCCTGCAGGGCACTGCAAATACAGAGCAAATACACTTTTTGGAACATATGCTTTATTAAACAAAGATTATTGTATCTACAAACAGGTACCCAGATAGAAAAATGGACTTGGGTTGCACAGAAGATCTCGTGGTCTTCCCCGGCCTCATTTTAGTGCTGATGAGAGCACAGCAGCCCAATGGTCTAAAAAAAAAAAAATCTCTTTTCAGATCCAGGGTGTCAGCGTCGCGTTGCGAAGAAGAGGGGGCACGCTGAGGACCTTGGGGGGTGCCAGAAACGAACCGAGTGGTTGGCCAGCAAGAGAGCTCCCCGGTCCCCCGCCTTCCCTCATCTGCTTCTCTGTTGCAGGTGGATTATGATCGAGCGCAGCTGGTCGTTAGCCCACCGCTCTCCGGATCGGACACCTACCCCAGGGGCCCGGTGAAGCTACCTCAAAGTCAGAGCAAAGTCAGCTATTCAAGCAGCAGCTACCAGTATCCCCTGGTCTACCACAAAGCGCCCCACTATCACCAGCCGCCCCTCCAGCCCAGCTCTCCCTATATTTCCACCGCCTCCTACCCCAGCTCCCCGAGTATCACGTCAAGTGCTTATCCTCCACCCAGCTGGGGCTCCTCCTCCGACCAGCAGCCCTCCAGGGTGTCCCACGAACAGTTCAGAGCTGCCCTGCAGCTTGTGGTCAGCCCCGGCGACCCCCGGGAGTACTTGGACAACTTCATCAAGATCGGGGAAGGCTCCACAGGGATCGTCTGCATCGCCACCGAGAAGCACACAGGAAAGCAGGTCGCCGTGAAGAAGATGGATCTCAGGAAACAGCAGAGAAGGGAGCTGCTCTTCAACGAGGTACGCTGTTTTGGGTGGTGTGACGGGAGGTTCAACAAGAGATGTGAGCCGAATGGCAAACTCAAAAGCCAAGTTAATACCTTTCTAAAAGAGGTGGTGAATCCCACGCGCATCTAGGCTGTGTGAATGCTGTAGAGCCAGACCAGTTTCACACGAGCTACATCTCCCCCTGGCTTTAAAACTGTAATGCAGTGGGAAGTGACAGTAAACAGCTAAGAAATCTTGCCAGCTGCTCCATGCTGCATATCAGGTGCACAGACGTAGCCCGGCTGCCTTTTCCTGACCACTCGCTGATATAGTTTATTCTTCCGAGATGGAGGATCCAAACCAACCAGACCACTCAAGAAGCATGTGCACCGTATTCCGGCATATACATGCGTTTTGTTTCCTCCCTCCTTCCTCACCGAGCCATTAGCAGTCCCTTTACTTTCTTGGCGGTTACTAAGCAAAGCACTGACAGTCCCTTTTTCATGGAACCACGTCTGTCAGTTCCCACATCTCCTTTCCTCGGTGGTTGCAGCCAGTTCAGAGCCCACAGCTGCTCATGGGAAATTGTTGTCCCAGTATATATTATTTTAAATTTAAGAACACTGGTTTTCATTTGCCATTTTTTCACCCACTTGTTCGGTGCTGAGAGTTTTCCTTCTGCAACTCAAAGACCTTCTCCTTTTTCAGTTCTTACTCCCTTAAGTGGTGCAGCTTCTCCGCTCCCTTTTCGATATGCTGAGCAATGCCAAAAACACTGCAGGTCCCCAGGGAAACCTCCCGGGAGAGCTAACCTTTCGATCCTATCATTTGTTTCCTGTATTTTAGCTATAAGAGGATCTTCCCTCAGCACATAACAGACCGGTTTCTTTAAAACCTTTAAAAACTTAACATTTTTGAATTAAAATACTAGTTTTTAACAAGCTTCACGCCGTTCTCCTTTTGCGCTGTCCGTGACTGTACTGGGGAGGTATTTGGGCTTTCTTTTGCCTCTGCTGGAAGACTGCGCGGAATTGTGTTGTGATAGCTCTAACAGAGCATCTTGTGAAGGGTAACATCTTGAAGCAGGTCCTACATGCTGTGCAGGACCAAGCTGCTTCCCTGACACGCTCCAGTAACTCCTGCCATCTGAAAATTTCTTTTCAGTGGTGCTGAAATTCCTCAGTCTATAGTGAAGCTTTCCCTGGCTGTTGTTTTCTCTCCTGAGCACCTTCCTGACATCCCTCAATACCGTGGGGTCACGGTTGCCACGTTGCCTGGGATTGCTGTTACTGTGGTCCCAGTTCTGTACCGTCCCTCTTAGATGTGGGATTTGAGTCATCTTATGCATATCCCCTACGTTTCCAGCATTCTCTTCAAATTCTGTGCAAAGTACCGTTTGATACATGATGAAGATGACTTTGATGGGTTGGGTGATTGATCGGGTCAAAAAAAAAAACAAAACCAAAAACTCTGTTGTACTGAAAGAAACCGGTACTAAAAAAGCAACGAAATAAACAGTCTTGTTCCTGCAGTCTGAAAAAAAAAAAAAACAACTCAATTATCTAGCACTTATAATTTAGCAACTAAAGATTCCTCCTTCTTCCTAATGCATTTACGATGACTGTTCTTTTTATGTAAATATATTGATTTTGTTTATGCGTTGGCAGAAGGATTAGGGAAGGTGTGATTCATGGCAGAACCTTTACTAAGCACAAAGAGAAAAGTAAAGTGAAAAAGAAGGTCAAACCAGGTGTCAGCTAATGCTTGTAGCAATTCACGTATCTTTTTTTCCTTCCTCACAGGTTGTAATCATGAGAGATTACCATCATGAAAACGTGGTTGACATGTACAACAGTTACCTGGTTGGCGACGAGCTGTGGGTTGTGATGGAGTTTCTGGAGGGGGGCGCTCTGACAGACATCGTGACTCACACCAGGTGGGCCGGGTGGGCTGCGCCGGGACCGGCTGCGTAACGCCCGCGGGGCAGGAGGGAGGTGCTGTGGCTGCTTTCCTTTGTGGGTGCCTCCACACCGTGCCCTCCGGGAAGCGGGGTGCCTCCTGGCTCTGTAGTTTTATACCTATTTGTATATACATACGAAAAGACACATATATACAAACCTAGAAATACATACCAGATACAGACATGGAAAATATATATACGTAAATATATAGGCGTGTATGTGCAGAGCTACATATGCGTGTGTGTGTGAATATACATGTGTATATGTACGCGCGCACACATACTGACACCGTAGCATGCTTACTTTACCAGCATAAATAAGCCACCGCAGCTGAATTCCTGTCAGTACCAGCATTTTTTAAACAGAAGGGAAAGAAATATCCGAAAGGGCTTGCTGGTAGATGGGAATTTGCTGGTGCTTCAGGAGGTAATTTAGCAGCAACACGACTTTCACCCATTGCTTCCTAAAATGGCAAGAAATATCTTCTGTTCCCTGTTTGGGGATCTGTGTTGGTTTTGCTGTCATAACCACGTCAGTTCCAAGGGTGGTTTCTCCCCATACTCATAACCCACATAACCACACTTTCAGAAATGTTAACTGCAAACCAAGCCTAAAGCATAATGGGAAAAGTGGGTTTATGTCAGAATATTTGTGCTTACGGTAGAGCTTGTTCCCGTATTTCGGTTAATATCGTACCTTTAAAGGAGACGATTCGCCAGCACAAAAGCTGTAGTTAGGGAACTGCTCTTCCCTTTCTGAGTGGAGACATTAGATTTTACAGCCCTCTACAACTGCTGCTCACTCATCTTTTCCCGATAAGCAAGATAAAATGAGACAGGAAGAGGAATTCTTTATTCAATTTCTTCCTCTTGAATAAAAAAATAGAAATTTCCACACCAAACCACTGGGAGAGTATTTAGGTGAGCAAGAAGAAAAGCAAGGAACAGTAAATTAGAAAATTTGTCTCCTCTTATAGTTTAGTGACACTCCTAGATCGTACCAAAAGCAGAGCTGTAACACAGATTTTTTTTTTTTTTTTTTACTGTTGCCTTAGCTGATGTGCTGAAATAAATCACAATACTGCAAGTCATTTGTTAACTGCTGCTCCCCAAAACATTAAAAGCTCTATCTTAGATATTTCTGACAGGAGTTCAATGGCAAACAGATGTGCCCAGAACACCACTTCTTAAGAGCTGTCATGTATTTTTTTTACTCAAAATAGTCTTTCCTTAATCTTCTGGGATTTTTTGTTTTGTTTTGTTTTGTTTTGTTTTTTCCTTTGTATGACCTTCCTTCAGAGATTTTGCAAAAATGCTGCAAATGGCACGCAAAGTTAAAGCAGAAACCTCCACGGGTGTTTTTCTGCTCACGGAGTAGAGGTGCTGGGGATGTCCAGTGATGGGGCAGCAGTGCCGGGACGCAGGACCCGTCCCGGCCGTCGCGCTGTGCCAGACGGCTTCTTCCAGAGTGGGGTTTTGCACACATGCACAGAAATGAGGACTCTCGCTGTTTATTTTTCTGCTGAAATATCCTGAATGTTTTTATGGAAGGCATAAAAGCAAAGAAGTGCTCTCGAAAAGCTACACCCAGGGCCTGATGTTTTGTCTGCACAATTAAGAGTGTTTTGGTTTTTTTTTTTTCTCATATTTATTCCATGCCTGCTTCCATCCCAGTAGTGATTTACCCTCCTTGGCAAGCAGTGAGTTTACTGTAAATAAGGCAGTTCTGTTATTTTCCAGAGGGAAAGAGGCTCCATCACATAGTACGCTTTGCTTTTTTAGTGCTGCAGGGAGCCTTATCCAGACCTCACGGCAGAGTTGTTCCTCATCTCCCCTTTTTTGACAGAAATAGGAGCAGAGAGTCCCCCCACAGAGCCGTTGCCTAAACGATCTCCTGGCTCTCTGCATACTGGCGTGGAGGGGGACTCGTGCCTCCGCTCCGGCTCCCCCTTTCCCGCTCTCTGTTAGTGCTCAGCTCATTTTTCCACCTTGCTGTTTCAGGATGAACGAGGAGCAGATCGCGACCGTCTGCCTGTCCGTCCTGCGAGCCCTGTCCTACCTGCACAACCAAGGCGTCATCCACCGCGACATCAAAAGCGACTCCATCCTCCTCACGAGCGACGGGAGGGTGAGCGCCTGATGGTTCCCCTGCCGGTTCTTGGGGCTGGCATGAAAATAGCTGTGCCCGTCCAAAGCGGCACTAACTGAAAAAAAAAAAAAAAAAACAAAAAAACAAAATAACAAGCCAGGCGCATGAAACCAAGGGCTACAGCCTGTGAATAACTTGTTAGAGAGCCGAAGCAGAGAAGCACGGGCCCGGCCTGGCCAGTGGCTGACATCTGCACCGCCTGCAGAGTCCCCCGGGGGGAATCAGAGCTGCTGAGAGGCAGTGCCAGAAGGAACCCTGCCACGCGGGTGATGCTTAGGTGATGGGAGACCTTCTTTTATGCTGCACTGCTCCTATTCTGATGCTTCTCAGAAATATTTTCTTTTTACTGTTTTTAGTTATCCTTTCGTTAGCAAGTTTTTATACGTTTGCTCTGTTTGCCCAAGCAGTTAGGAGGCTGTCGTCAGTCTGTACGGAGAGGAAGCGTTCCGCATTACTGCTGAAACGCTCCCCCGACGGTGAGAGTAGCTTTTGCCGTAGGTACACTATCAGGATGCTTGATAATACCTGTCCCACACTTCCACTTGCTTGGATGGAGTGCTGCTCTCAGTGAACTGGTCTTGCTTCGTGTTGTTAATAAGTGGGGAAAGAGGGAGGCAAAATGCACGACCGGCTCAGTAAGCAAAATAAAGTTTGCACGCAAAAAAATACCGCTTCAGCAGTGTTTGGTCCCAAAGAAGTTATTATTTCCTTACAAGGAGAAAGGTAGGTTTGGCCAGTGGTATTTCTGGGCATACACAGCCGTAAAACTTGAGGCACCTAAACCTTGGGGCACCCAAAGGCTTAGATGGAGGCAGGCAAATCACTCTTGGATAAAGACCCTAATTTCTGCTTGAGTCGGGCACTGCTTTCCATCTCACCTTGTGGCCCCAGTGGGATAATCTGAGCAGGAACTCATGCACTCATGGCCGGTGAGTTCCATAAGCAGGGCTTTAAGGGTCGCTCCGCTGGTGTTACACACCGGCCTAAAGCAAGACTTAGCAGGTTGGGCTGAGCTCAGGAGCACCTGGTTGGTCAGGAGCCAAACCTAGACCTTCTCTTTCAGAATGTAAAACTCTTGGCTTCCCAGGCCTGGTCTGATTCCCTAACCAAAGGCCTGCCTCTATAATTTGATTCCCACTCTGCCGAAGGAGAGGGATTTTCTTCCTGCAGCAGTCCCAGGCTGCTCCTGTCAATCCTGTCAGGGAAGAGAATTCCACATGTGTAGGAGTTTTTCAGCTGCGATTTCAATCCGTGTTGCTGAAATAGCATCTGATCTGCTCTCAAGATCTGCATACAGTGCCTCATTATACTCATTACTCCAGCACTTATTATCTGCATTGCAGATTTCTTCATGGCTGTGTTGTGCAATTATCTTTTTTTAGAAAATCGTCTTCTTTTATGTACTCGAATGAGCAATAGATATGCAAAACCTCTTGTGCTCCTACAAAAGAAGATTGGGCTCTGCTTCCAAAATACGCATTATTTCTTCCATTCCTCATCCTGTAAACTGAAAAATACATTTAGCATGAAGAACTTGGCTATTATTGGCTTTGTTTTAGAAATACCAACAGTCATTTCGTAATTCTGTTAAAAATAACACCCTCAGTGTTAAAAAAAAGTAATGTCTGCACTGAAGCCAGAAGAAAACAAATCAGTGCTGATAATAAGACGCTGGTCTGCACAACGGAGGGATTTAAGCGACGTGTCCCGGGGCTGTTTGGGCTCACCCCGTATCCCCAGGCGCCGAGCACACCAGCGCATACACGACTTACAGACCTCGGAGGTGGGTCACCGTTGGGCTGTGGGGCGTGCAGCTGGGGGCGATGGGGGCTGGGCTGCTGTCCAGGACAAGCCTTATGATGGCTTCTAGGCCTCCAAATAAATACTTGGGGGGGAAAAAAACACCCAAAACTTTAGCCTTAAGGGACAAGCTGTTTCTGGAGGGGGGTGATGCCACTGACATTGACTAGCCTGCTTTGGGTGGGGGTCAGAGGGGTTGTACAGCAACAAGGAGGCAGACATGATAATTTTCCGTAATTTTAGTTGTTTAAAAAAAAAAAAAAACCAACCTGGCATAAAAGTAGGAGCGGGCACATGATGCAGCAGGAGCTGCTCTCTGGAGAGCTTGTGTATCCCATTATTTCTATTTCAGGTCAGTGCCACAGCTACTCAAGGACAGTACCGTCTTTAATTCCTGAGTTCCCAAGCCAAGGATGAAGGTCCCCATAACTCTTACAACCGTTTTGGAAGAGTCTGGTACCCTTCCCCAGTTTAAGTCCACGACTACGTAAAGACGACAGTTTCTTTAGTGATGGTCCACAGTGTGAGGTCCTGGTCTTTAAAAATCAGTGGCAGGGGTGTTGCTTTCTGTGAGTGCTAGACCACGCTCTCTGGGGTAAAAGAAAATGGGGTGAATGAATGGCGCTTGTTTCATCTGTTTTCTGGCAAACTCGCGGATTGTGTACCAGATACAAATAATAGGAGTGGTGTGTATCCCTTGAAATACCTATATTATTGAATATCGGTATACGTACGTAGGCTACAGACACGGGGTGGGGGGTGTGTATATATACACACGGAGGAGTTGGCCTTCAAGAGGGGCTTTTCCTTTCCAGATAAAATTGTCCGACTTCGGGTTCTGCGCCCAGGTGTCGAAGGAGGTGCCCAGGAGGAAGTCGCTGGTTGGGACGCCGTACTGGATGGCGCCGGAGGTGATATCCCGCCTGCCCTACGGCACTGAGGTGAGTACAGGAGATCTTCTAAGCCACAGCTCTGCCCGCCTGCCCCCTGCGCGATGCCTTGGTCGACCCCACCGAGCCCTGTCAGAACCGTGCAGGCAGAACACATTTATGCAGGTATCACTAAATAGCAGCAATTACGTTTGGCCTGGAGTGCTGCACCGTGCCTTGTCTCAAAGCCCTTCTCCAAGACCAAGTCGTTGAACAACGACTCCATTTAGCGCACTAAACAAGGTGATGCCACATACTTTATCTCCGGGTGCTCTATTAAAGGAACCTGCCACCATTCTCACATGGTGAAAGACCCTTGGGTGACCTTTAATGTCGAGCCTGCAAGCTCGAGCTGCAGCCACAGGTGTCTGCACCTGCATATGCCAAACAGCAGCCAAATCGCACGCCCGTACTGGAACAGCCAGGCCGCAGCAGCATTTGCAGCAGCCCCGCAGGCAGAGAGATCCGCTCTGCTTTCGTCCAGCGAGAGCCCAAGATTGATGCCTCCCTCCCGAGGAGCACCACCACAGGCGCAGGCGTGGTCCTGGAGAGCCCAAACTCGGGAGCTGGGCGGGTGGGTTGGCTTGCACCCGCTGTTACAGCATTCGTCTCCCCATCGGCTCGCTCCTCGCATGCTCTCATTAGTTGAGAGGCAGGGAGGGGCAGGATCCCCTCTGCGGGAACTGTTTTACGCCCTGCCAAATGGTCTGAAAAAAGCCAACGCACACGTTTTTCTTGGAGCCCCCTCAGATGAGCCCAGCAAGGTGGGGACCCGGCAGCTGTGCAGCTACAGATGTAGTTACACATGTACATATACACACGTACGCACATACCTATAGCTAGGTAGCTATGTACACACACACACACACACACAGAGGGGGAAATGAGCCGAGGCCAGCGACAGGAGCCGCTGCATCTTCACATAGAGCAGCAGGGAGAGCACCCACTGGAGGGCAAGGGCACCCTGCCAGCACCCACGCCCGCCCAGGACGGGTGGCATTGCAGACAACATTTCAGGGATAATAACATCAGCTATTATTAGCCCATTAATAACACTGAAGGGATCATAAATTGGCTGAATTTATGGCTGCATTAAGTTTCACCACTGGAAGGGAAAGATTAAAAAAAAAAAAGGCTTTAAGCTGTAGGATCATGTTGACAAAGGAGCAAAAGCAGTGTGAACTTGCCTTTGCTGTATTTGGGCTGGCAAATGACAGCAGGAATTACAGTCATCAGAGGACTGGGATTCTGGAGCAGCTCTGCAGCAGGCCAGGAACAAAAAAAAAAAAAAAAAAAAGTGGGTTTTATTTTTTTAAGCTGCAACTGGATCACTTTCTGAAGGGATTATATAATGTGTTACCTGTGCTCGCTGGAAACGGGCCCGGGTGCAGTACATGCCTGCGTCTGCCTCGGGTCTCAAACAGAGCTCCTGTAGTCTTTAAGATCCAGGTGAGTAACTGGTTTCACAGCAGCTCAATTGTATTCTGCTCTCCGACCAGCTGCACCTCGCTGCAGCGCTGCAGGGCCAGCCCGGGGTAAATACTCAGTGGGTGCAAAGCAGTGGAGCTGAAATGCAGCGCAGGAGGGTGCAGCCAGCCTCCCAAACGACTGTGCCGTAGTGCTTCCAGTGGCCAGCACCTAAACTGACTGTAAACCCGGGTTTTCAGGTGTTTCTCATTTATTTCTTCAAAGCACTTGCTGCTCAGAAGTGAAAAAAAAAAAAAAAAAAACGCAAAACAAAACCCTGCTGTTGGCTGGTTAAAAAAGAAAGATTTGTGGTGCTGGCTCGCCGGACCGCCGGCTTGTGAGCCAGCTCGGAGGTCTGCATGCCCCCGGGGGGGCTGAGCCCCCGGGCCGCCTCGGCGCCGGCCACCAACAGCCCCCCCCCCCGCGTTGCAGGTGGATATCTGGTCCCTGGGCATCATGGTGATAGAGATGATCGACGGCGAACCGCCCTACTTCAACGAGCCGCCGCTGCAGGCCATGCGCCGCATCCGCGACAACTTGCCGCCCCGGGTGAAGGACGTGCACAAGGTCAGGCTTTCCGCCGGTGGCGAGGGCCCTGCAGGTACCAGCGGTCACTAGAGAGCCGCAGCCGCGCGCTGCCCTGCCCAAGGGAGAAATTGCATCTGTGAGAAATAAGCCCTCCCCCCCTATATATATATATATATATATAAAAAAAAAAAGTTTTATTGGGGACAAAGTGGAGCAAAGAATACAGGGCTGGGCGCAATGGCGCGCCCTGGAGCCAAAGGGGCTCCCTTTCATTGTATAAAAGGTTACACATTCATCTACTCTAATACATACGCATCGCTACTCCAAGGTAGGGAGGGAATATTACAATTAGTTCCGAGAAATCATTAACATATCCCCCCACCCCAAATTCCTCCCGTCGCTCTGCGCAGTGCTCCCGGGTGGTCGTGGGCAGGGCTCTGCAGATGAAGGCTCACAGTCTTCTTCGCTGTGTTCGCTAGCTGACCCTTCCTTCCGTGCCAACTCAGTCCTGTGGTCCCGTACACCTTGTCCTTCAGGTCTGGGCTAATTTGCAGCCCCTTTGTCTTTCTGGCTCAGTGGTTTCAGTTCCTCTCTCATCTCAAGGACAAGGGATACCAGGGATGGCCCGTCCTGTTCTTTCTCATTCCATTGCAAAGGAGTTACCGCCCTTTGATATGGACCACCTGGTGAGCGTCCCGGAAAGGGGGCGGGGGGCTGTTGGGTTGGTGTTTCCTCAGATCAACTCCCCCCTTTCCTTTTCCCGGTACTAAATTCTTTGCCTTTTCTTAAAATTTGGATCGTGGTACTAATAACAGCTTTAGCCTAACTCAATAAAAGTAATTGCTTAATTACTTGCAGCGAAAGCAAAATTCTTCTGTTTTTTACCACACATCTTTCAGGCACAAACTTGAGCGGCGGGTCCTACGCCGGGCTTGCGCGGGGAGGAGGCGAGGCCGGAGGGCTCAGCACCCCGCTGCCTTTTTGTGCCAGGCCCTGGCTTTGCTTTTGCAGCGAGCGGCGGCGAGCGGAGCAGGGCCAAGCTTTGTGTTCTCTGCCCTTCCCGCCCTGCCCGGGGACCGGAGCGACTCGGCACATCAGCCCTGCTCTGGGTGGGTTGGTACCCCCGGGCCCGGTGCCTCCCGTGGGTATCTCCCATTTGGGATGTGCCTCTAGGAGCCAGCCCGGAGCCCGCAGCGTACGTCAATGCTTTTCCCACCCACCCCGTGCAAAGCTGTGCCGTGTGCGCTCTTCTGCGCCCCGCTGACACCCCCCAAATACTTTTTCCACGTAGAAGACACACGGCCTTTCAGGTCGGTGCATCTGTCGCCGTAGGGAAGCCCAGCGCGTCCCTCATCTTCCCAAGCAAAGCAAGGGTGCACAGACCCAGCGCGGGCTGGAAACGGGTCTCTGTCCACCCCAGCACCACGGGGATGTTGGCAGCGGGTGTCCGTGTCCGCCCCTGACGCCACTGCCGTGTTGCAGGTCTCCTCGGTCCTCCGGGGCTTCTTGGACTCGATGCTGGTGCGGGAGCCCTCGCAGAGAGCCACAGCACAGGAACTGTTGAGACACCCGTTTCTCAAACTGGCTGGGCCCCCGTCTTGCATCGTGCCCCTCATGAGGCAGCACAGGCATCGCTGAAGCCGGCGACTTTTCGGGAGGAGGTGGGTGCAGAGCCTGGATGACAGCCGCCCAGGAATCCCGGTGGTTGAGAACCGCGGGCAGGGACGAGCGAAACCTTGGAGAGGAAAACCAGCCCCACGGAAATACCACGGTGTGGGAAAACCCAAGGAGGTGCTCCCCGGGGGGCGATCCTGGCCACCCGTGCTCCGCCGTGGACCCTCGCTCCCCAGCGCTCTCGTCTTCTCGGCCATCTGAGGCAGGAGGCACCAAGTGCAAACGAGGTTGGGAAGATCATTAGTACAGCGTAGCGCAACCAGAGTGAAACACCAGAATTGTACTGCGGGCTGTGGCACTTCTGTTTCAGAAGAACACTTTTCTGAAAAAAAAAAAAAAAAAAAAAAAAAAAAAAAAGCACTTTTTATCTCGGTCATAGCAGCGCAATGTATTTTGCAATGAATTTGTAATTTTCTGTACAGTACGTTTTGATAATTTGCAGTACTTTGTCATGTAACTGTTGTGTTAGTTGAAGTAATAAGTGTAACTTAGCAAGAATTTGAGAAGATAAAGTTTCCTACTTTTCTAACCCTTTTGAAAACAGGAAAAAAAAAAAAAAAACAAACAAACAAACAAAACAAAACCCCACCCCCCACCTTTAGGAAGTTAGAAGTTTTCGCAGATTTTCCCATCAGGGTGAGGAGAGCGCTCATCGCGCCGCCGGGGCAGCGCTGGCAGGGGGGCAGCGGGTGCTGCCGGGGCACTGGGAGCTGCTGCTGCTGCTGCTGCACCTGCTGCACCTGCTGCTGCTGCTGCTGCTGCTCCTGCTGCGGCTGCTGCTGCTGCTGCACCTGCTGCACCTGCTGCTGCTGCACCTGCTGCACCTGCTGCTGCTGCTGCTGCTGCACCTGCTGCACCTGCTGCTGCTGCACCTGCTGCACCTGCTGCTGCTGCTGCTGCACCTGCTGCACCTGCTGCTGCTGCACCTGCTGCACCTGCTGCTGCTGCTGCTGCTGCTGCTGCGGCTGCTGCTGCTGCTGCTGCACATGCTGCTGCACCTGCTGCACCTGCTGCTGCTGCACCTGCTGCACCTGCTGCTGCTGCTGCACCGGCTGCACCGGCTGCACCGGCTGCACCTGCTGCAGCTGCACCTGCACCATCGCACTCATGGGGGGCTGCCTCCCCGTGCCCCCCATGCCGGGCTGCCCACCGCGCCCCCGTTACTCCCCTCGCGCTCTGGAGGCGGGAGGGGGCGGCGGGAGCCCCCGGGCGCGGCGGGGCGCGGCGGGATGGTTGCCGTAGAGAAGAAGTCGTGCTGCTGTCTAGACCTTTTTGAATGTTGATGCAACAGTTGACTACTGCGGTACAATTTTGTGTTACTTGTTGGATGACTTTTTGCATGTTAGCGGTAGGCCTAAATAGATTTGCCTTTAAAATTTTTAGAAGTGCTTCATAATTATTTCAACGATAAATGAAATTTATTTATTAATGATCAGTTCTTTTTAATTATGTATAGTAGGAAAGCCATGTTTTTCAAGGTTTTTTTTTTTCCTCGTTGACCTCATTTTACGGTATCGTTAAGAAACACAAAGCCAATTTTGTGAAAACACAGTTAGTTCCTTTCTTACGGAGTTTCGTAGTGAATAAATTAATTGTTATTTATTGTACTAAGTTATAACCAAACATCTACACCTCCCAGGAGCTGTTTCTTAAAGATCTTCCTCCAGGCCAAAAGAGTTGCCGCTAGTAAAGAAGCTCCTTTAGCACTGCCCCTAAAAAGTTAAAAGCATACCTGAAGGGAGAGAAAAAAATTAAAAAGAGGCGATAAATACAAACTCGAACACTGAATAAACGTTCTCACATCTGTGCGTCTTACTCCCCGCTGCTTTCTCTTCTGAACCCTGTTTGCACATTCTGAGAAGACTCTAAAGAAACTGTGTTTGGCTCCCGCCGCCCCGCCGCACGCGCCCTCCCGGCGGGAGCCCGGCACAGCACCCGCGGCGCGCCGCGCTGGCTCTGTTTCGTAGTCTTGACAACTCAGGAAAACAGGCTGCACCAGTAAAGGCGAAACTGTAAAACTAGCCACAGAAGCAAGCTTTTTTAACCATCTTTGAATAAAAAAAGGGGTTGGGGTTGGTGGGGTTCTTTTCTTCAGTGGTCAGCACATTTGGGGCTGTACAAGTGAAGAATTTTCTGCAACTTTCTTATCGTTAGATACTTTAAACCGTATTCATCGAGTTTACTGAAAGTTTTGTCGATTTCAAAGGTTCTTTTTGTGAACACCAGCTACTGGTGAGGCAAATGCACATGCAAGTTAAATAAATTAATTAATAAACGCTTTCATTTTCAGCGTGCTTTTTTCCCCATGCCTTGTTTCTGTTCTCTAAATTTGACTCAGTCCCACGGTACTGGACCAAGCAAATAACAGGAAAATAAAGTGGGTCCTTGTATATATATGTGTGAGATAGATGACATACACACACACACATATGTATGTGTAAATCTATATGATTTTTGAAGTGTCAGTGGCCGTGCCTGTGCTGAAAGGCAGCTGCTCTGCCCTGGTCCCGGGGTGCTGGTCACAGCCGCGTCCCCGCTCCTGGGGGGGCAGTTCCTGGCAAACCCCAGCCCCCGTGAAGGACACCGGGGTTGGCGCTGGGGAAGCCACCGGCTCCGAAATAAAACCTGTGCCAACCTGCCAGCCACGGGAAGCTGCCAGGCAGGAGCCAGTGGCTGTACGGGCACAAGAAAATAGGTTGTTTCATACGTTTTGCTTGTATCTGTTAGTTTAAGATCTTGAAGAGTGAAATGCTGCTGCCCGGCTTTGGTTTTCCAAATCAAAAAGATAGGAATAAGCCCTCAAAAAAAATAACATCTCCTGGTTGGTGGCACAACCACTGCGTAAACACCTGTGATGAACAGTAGGTGAGGAAGAATAAGAAGCTTGAGATTCTGACTGTGCCTCTACCCAAAATTAATTAAAAAAAAAAAAAAAAAAAAAGAGTTAACAGTTGTTCCAAGCACATCAGACTTAACGAAGACCAGCAGGTTGGAGGAGGCAAAAGTTGCCCTAGGTGACTGAAAAGGAAAAAAAAAAAAAAAAGAAAAATTTAATTTAATTTGCCATAAAGAGGAAAGTGCAAAGGCTTAGAGTTTGCACTGCAATGGGGTGTGGCAAAACCAGGGAGCCTATGAGCTAAATACCCTAAATATCACCAACCCCCCCCCAAGCGAGGAGCAAAATAATGGAGGGAAATATTCAAATCTGTATCATCAGCCTTTGCAAAACCCTTGGCGCGGGAGACTGACTCTTTCTCCCTGGGACCTTCCCACCCCCATAAAAGGCTGGTCCTGATCAGGCCCGGAGCACCCACTTGCCTGCCCTCCTGCAGAAAAAGAAACTTCCCCGTGGCAGAAATCACCAGCGTGGTTTGTCAGGCTGAAGCAAATGATGCAGTTGGGAAATATCCATTTCAACCCCAGAAACCACGATTTAGCCATTCCGAGAGCCCCCCTGCCCCCCCAAACACTCACCACGCATGCCCCGACACACACACACACCCCCTCTTATGTTAGAAAAAAACCACAATTTTTCTACACACAGGAAAAACCCTTTTGTGGCTCAACAGGAGCTGGCAATGCCAGCACTTGAAAGAAACACCCAGACATCCCAGTGCTGTCAGTCGTATAGTACAGAAAATTTTGAGGAGAGATCAGCACACCCATACACCTCTGCGTCCAGAAAGAGCAAACCTGTTGAAGCATTTCCACCTTCCTCGCCCTGCCCCCTAAATAAACACCCCACCCCAGTTTGTTTTGGAGGTTTTTTGCCTGCCACATCCTTAATTTTTGGCTCACAAGCATTCAGCTCTCATGCCTATTTGAACCATTCCTCTCAGGCTCACCTGTAGCATCGATCAGCTCATGAAGCTACAATATTATTCTTTGCTCTCTTATGCATCTTCAAGTCTTACAGATGAGGTTTTGTATTGCTTTTGGTTGCTGACATCAATGTTTCAAAACGCATTAGCCATCACTCAAAAAAAAAAAAAAATAAAAAGGCAAACCAAACCAAACCAAAACCCCTTAACTTTCAGCTGTTTGCTGTTTCACCCACAGCACTTCAAATAAAGCCAGAGCCAGCCAAAAAAGCAGGGAATACCCGTGGCCTGTTACCCTGGGCTGCACAGTTGCCAGAGCTGTGTCCATCACCCTTTCTGCAAATTTATTCCTCGGGAAACCTCCGTAGGACCTTCCCGAGTCTCGTCTCGAGCCCTGACCTGGTCCCTGCGGTGTCCACGCGGCAGAAGCCGTCTCCTCCACCACTGTCACCCTGTGGGCTGCGCAGTCGTGCCCTTGTTGGGCATCTCAGCAAAAAAAAAAAAAAACAAACCCTCTTTAGTTTTACTTTTTAGATACCAGCTGTTGGGAGCACCCATCCACCCAGAAGACGTCTTCATCGGCTGCACGGGCTGAGGCCAAGCTCCGCGTGTGGCCAGTTATTCCCGTGCGTTTCTTCCCGCCCTTCACGAAGGGACAGCGGCTTCCTCTGAGGTCACCGCTTCTAAAAGCCTTCACAAATACTCAGAATTTTAGCAGCAGAGGGTGGGGCATTTCCTGGTTATGTCACTCCCCTCCTCAGCAATCTATCAATAATTCGTAATTAAAGTTCTAGTCCTAAGTACTTGGTAAAGACATTAACAGCTGCTTTAGTAAGTGCTTAATTATTACAGGTCCTTACAGAGCTCGGTAGGGGGATAAGTTTCTCCGCTTTATCCACCTTCTACTAGCGTGTTGATAAACATCTATAAAGCAAAGCGGTCACGTCTGCAGCTAGCTCGTAACAGGCCACCGATGAATGAAAGCTAAATATAAAATGAAATCACAACAGAAGTGCTGCCGTCCTCGAGATGCTGCTGGAGTTTGATGGGCAGGAGGGAAGTTGGATGGAAGTTGGGCAGGAGGGAAGTTGGATGAAAATAATTTTTCAGAAATAGGCTTGGAAAGCTTAAATCGATGGAAAATGCAGATCAAATGCAGTAAATAGTTGTTAGCAAAAGGAGAACAAGAATTAAAAGATTCAGAGGGTTTTCTTTCAACATCTTAAATAACTTTTTCTTTAAACAAGGTACATCAGTCCGGGGCACAACGCAAACGCTCACCGAGCTGAAAATATTGTTTCTATTTCCTTTCTTCCTAAAAAGGAGAGGAAAAACCTTTCAGCCCAACAAAAGATTTATTTTCTATCTTAAATCAGAAAAAAACCCCAAGAAATTAATTACTGTCTTCATGCAACTCTGTCCTGGTAGCTTACAGACCCTTTCAGTCTGAAGGGGATGCTGAGTGCTGCCTAAGGGAAACGTCTGCCCTCTGACATGAAAAGCAGAAAAAGTTCTTAGGGTACATGGGCACAGGGTCCCAAAAGCTGCGTCGTTTTTTTGGGGGGTGGGGGGGTTCTTGTCCTCTCACGCCACCACTCCCATGCACTGGCCAACGCTCAAGCCGTGGGATCAGTCAAGGCCAGTTTCCTACGAGCGGTGAGGACGGTGTTTGCCTTGGGCAGCCCTGCTGTGCCTGCCCTTACAGCTCACCGCAGATCGAATTAAAATTAGTTTGCCGCGTCAACCGTAAGTCGGCATTTTTTTCCATCTCAAATACGTGCGGACGTTTGAGAGCATCTCCCCGTTGCGCCGGGCGGGTCTTGCTCACGTTCTGCAAACGGGGAAGCCACGACGTGGCCTGCGAGGGGGTAAAACCCACCAGCAGCTTTACTTAACAAGGCACAACAAACTCCAGCGGCTCCAAAAACCGGCCTGGAGGTAGGCTCGCCCAGCAGCTCCGCTCACCAGCCGCTGCCTCTCCTAAGAGTGACACTGAGGCAGCTCAGCCAAGCCCCAGGTTGTGTTGCCTTCAAACAGCTCCATGTAAACCCAGGGCTGTGGCCTCCGAGGCGGGGGCTGAGAAAAGTTAAACATGGCCCGTCAAATGCTGCAAGGGTGCAGAGCGGTGGGTTTCCCACCTCCTGCTCGGGTTTCGGAAAGCCTGTTGACCCCTCCCCAGCTGTGGACAATCCTTCCCGCCTCCAAACCCACGCTGTAAAATAAATATGATTTCCGCAGGAGATGAGAAATGGGGTTACAGCCGACGGCTCCTGTGAGGAGCTGTCACAAGGGGCAAAGGCAGGAGGCCAAGAAGAAGGAACATAAAGACTCTGCTTGGTTGTGTATTTTAGAACACCTTGCACCGACCCTGTCTCTGCCGGCAGCTAGGCACTGGCCTCAGTACAAGGCTGGCTGCACCCAGGCGTCATGGAAAGCAGCTGAGACATGCAAGGCCACTACTGGCACAGTCATCCCTTCATTGGGCTAAAAATTGGCGAGGGGGGCGGCATCAGAAATCAAAACCACTTACAAAAATGCTGCGATGTGCGTTTCCTTATCTCTGTACAGCTTCTACTGAAGGCAAGCGAAAGGGAAGAATCTCTTTTTTACATCACTCATTTAAAGTTTCAGTATCCAATGGAGACGCAACTAACCCAAGTTTTGCAAGGGGCAAAAAAAAAAAAAAAAAAGGGAAGGGATAGATGCTGATGAACATGGAGAGAGGGATTAAAAAAAAAAACCCCGGTGGACTCTCCTAGAGAAACAGATGGCACAGGGGAAAAACAGGATCCTCTTCCTTGTTTCCAGCCACAAAGTCCTTCTCTTCCCCCATTTTTTCGTGTCCCAGCTCCATCACCTCCTGCCTGGTGCTCGCACGTGCTGTGTTTGGGTGGTGCCGCGGGGTCTGGCGCGCACACGCTTCCTCGTGGACAAACAGCATCTCCAATTATACTCGGCTGAACCAGCAGAAATTGCTCCCACTGCCACCCAAGACTTGCAGCTCGCTGGGGGGAAGCCAGCCGGCGGGGGACCGGCCCCTCGCTGCCCGGGATGTCTCCAGCTGGGCGCAGCCTCCGTCCCCAGCTGCCTCCGTCCGTGCCCTCCCAGCGGCCCCGTCCCGCCGCCGCCTTGCCAAAACGGGCCAGTCGGGAGACAAACGACAGCGGAGGGGCTCCTTTGGCATCTGCTTCCTTTTTTTTTTTTCCCTTTTTTTTTTTTTTTGGATGTCAAACCCAGGAGCAGATGTTCCAGGCTGATGGGAGCTGGCCGGGAGAGCCCTTCTGGCTGGAGGGCAGACAAGAGCGAGACAGAACAAAGCCGGTAACTACGGCCTCTCTCTATTAAGGAAGAACCTTTAATCCTTTTATTCACACTCCTGCTACCTATGGCTCTTTCTGGCTGCCTCTCAAAGAACCTTTTTTTTTTTTTTTTTTTAAATCATAATCAGCTCATATTGTAGGCAGTGGCACTTGGTCGGCCTCAAGCCGGCCCAGAACACTTTCACTGGAGTTTTAAAAGAAAAGGGCAAAGCCACAAGCATCATTAGTGCCATAATTTTGCTTCTTACAGCCAAATGAGAAAACAAAAAGCTGAGCATAAGATAGAAATGAGACCAGGAATAAGACAGGACTAAAGGAAGGCTCTTGCTGCATCCCCCTTCACCAAAAAAAAAAAAAAAAAAACAAACATAAATTTTGGAGGAGGCTGCAGCATTAAAACACAGTTCAGTTTCTCCTCTTGCACCTCTCAACACTGAAATTACCATTTTTCTTTGCGTATTACCCTGGTTTTGGCTGAAGGAGGACAGCCTGTATGAGTCCCTGTTTGGATCAAATCAGTTCAAGAACGAGAAGCGATTTTCCATACCCTAAACTAACACAAGGTCTGGAGTAACTCTCGCTGCAGTAACACTGGGGCCAAGGGAAGCCAAAGGTTTCAGTGGGAACTGGACGGGACTGGAGCGACACACACCATTGCCCACAGACAGGTAAGAAACAGCTGAGAGATGAGAAGACTATTAGAAATGAGCAACAAATCACAGAATACTGAGCCACCACCGTGTCTTCAGCAAACCACGTGCACCAAAAATACTGCTAAAATAAATGCGACGTTTAACACTTATTCAGACGATGAGTTTTTGCACTAATTCCACTAGATATCAGGGAGTTCGTAAAAAGCAGTAAATAATTTCAAAACAAGAAGGCAAACCAAGTATTATATATGTACATGTTTTAATTAATTTTAAAAATCATCTACATTTAAGGAGAGATTTCAAGGGTTCCCTTGTATTTTTTTCTGTTACATTAGATTATACCTGAATAATCTGCATAGTAACTTTTAACATTTCCGTTTTCTTTTTTTTTTGTTTCGTTGCGAAAGTATCGGTTGCAGGTAGCAATGTAACATCTCAACGACAATCACAATACGTGCAGGATGTCCAGCCAGAAGCATTTCTCAGTTGACTTGCAGTAGCATGGCACTTTATAATTTCTGTATCTTTATTTTTTTTTGTTATTTTTTTTTTTTTTAAGTTTAGTTCAGATGAGGCTCAAGAAGCAAAAACAAGCTTTTTCACTCAGTCTCAAACGTGGGGTCAGCTCCTCAGCTGGCTGCGATCTGCTCCACTGGAATTACTCCAGTTTATACCAGCTTGAGGCTCTGAGTTGTTTTGTTTTGTTCTTTTCCTTTTCAAAACACACCCGTATTGCCTTCATGCTTTCCTTAACACGACTGCAAACTTCAGGAATGTGGTTTGAGTCCCTTTGCTGGAGGACTGTGATGAAGTCTGTCTAATGGCTCTGCCCCCCCGCCCTGCTCCCTGCGTGGAGATGAACGCAGCGGGCTGAGCGCTGCCGAGAGCAGCACGCTGGGGGGGGGAAGAGGCTCTGGTGAAGGGGGGAAAAAAAGGGAAAAGAAAAAAAAAAAGAAGAAAAAAGAACGAAAGAAAAGGAAAAGGCGACTTTTGCCCCCATTGTTAAACTTTTGACACGTAAAGCGTTTCTGTCTCCAGATGACTGGCCCAGCTGCTGAAGAAGGTATTCATATCACCCACTGCCACAGGCAGACTCCTAAAATGGGATGCTGAGTCTTCCCAGAGCCAGCTGTGCCTCTGCACTGACTGTACTAAAGCCTAACCTTGTGTGTCCCCAGGAAATATCCCCAATGAGGTGTTGTGAATACCATCTCTCGCCCCCCCATAACCATTCCTCACCCTTAAAAAAGTGCTTTTGCTTTTTCTACCTGATAAATGTTTGGGCTGCTCGATGCTGTCCCCTATCCCATGTGTTTGTACTGAGATCTGTCCCGAGGAATCTGCACTTGGTTGGCCGTCAGCTTGTGGTGGATATGGTAAACGCAGAGGGTTATCACGATAACCAACCCCAGTATCAGGCCCAAAATCAGAGGCAGGGTTTCTTCTAACTGCTCCCTCTGGTCCACCGGGCACTTGTGTTCTGCAGGGAAAGCAAAAAAAAAAAAAAAAAAAAAAAAAAGGGCAAGAGAGAAATGAAGGAGACACTGCAAATCCAAACGCCTGCTGCAGCAGTGAACCGAGCTCCCCAGAGCCCGAAAGGTCCCCGCACACCCGAAATCCCCGCGGGAGCGAGGAGGGACACCAGCCACCCTCTATAGATATTGTATCACGAGACCCTCGACATCACAAAGTCTTTAATCCTGCATCAGACTTACCCTGCTTGTCCTTGAAAGGGTTTTGCCCACCCCCCGCCTCTCTCTCTGCAAGTTGACAGAGATCCAACCGCACCTCTGCCCCGCTCTGCGAGCTCCCCGTGGGGATTTCACCAGCTCTGGCAAAGCACGTGTGTTTGTGGTCAAACGGCCTCCCAGCACCCCACATTTTCTGTCAAATATGGCAAAGGATGAGAAGCAGCAACACGAGCCTCCCAGTGGTTTTCTCTCTGGCCTATGAGTCCTCGTCACAGCCTAATAAACCACTGAAAATACTAATCGCAGCTAAAATGGGAAAACACTTTTCTGTTTAGCTTTCAAAGGCCACCAAGGTTAAGAAACACGTTACACTGGTAATCCCAGCTCAGCTCCCTTACGCTTCTAGAGTCTGCTGCAGGCCTGAATGACAGGATCATGATTTACTTCCTTCCCCACGGGACTGTTGCTTGTCCGTGCTGATGGACAGGCAGAGCCGATGCTGCTGAGATGGGGCTGCCAGACCAAAAAGAAGAAAAATGCCAACTCTGGATTAAAAAAAAAATAAATAAAAAATAAAAAGGTTATGGGGTACAGGAGGAACAGTGCTCTGGCCCCTGGATCATCATCTTCACGGTACTAGAATTGTGCTGAAAACATGGAAAACAGCAATTACTTTTAGGAAAAAAAAAAAAAAAAAAAAAAAAAAAAAAAAAGGCTGTGTGTTAGACAAGCAGATACAAAGGGCACCACTAATTCCTCCCATCGCTAAAGACCGTCCAGATGGGTTCCCCAGGCAGCTGATTGCAAGATGCAGAGATCTGTGGTAACGACGAACAGCAAATGCTCTGCAAACCTAACGGCACGTGGCAAAGAGCAGGAAAAACCCAGAGACCCCCATGCCCAGGCAGGAGGTGACAGCAGGGACAAATCCCCAGCGGTGCCCGCACCCCTGGGAGCACCGTCACCTCCGGGCACGGAGCCGTCCTCCCAGCAATGCCATCAGGAAACCTTTCGAGCTGTAAATGAAGTGAAACAAAAAAGCAAAAGTGAAATGTAGTCTAACAGAAAAAAAAAAAAAAAAAAAAAAAAAGAGCCCTTTTTGCTCACTGTTTCACCAGAGGAGTGATTAATCACCAGGACTGTGTTACAGGCGATTCAGCAACTGCTGCAATGCAGGGGTTTTGTTTGTTTGTATTAAGGAGAAAGGGGGGGGGGGGGGGTTGGAAAAAACCAACCCTGATTATTATTTAGCTCCCCAAATTGGGTTTCCTGGAGCCTGACGAAATTGTTCCCAGCTGAGGACGCCAAGGCCCGGCCAGACTCGCGGCGCCCGGGCAGGGGCAGAGCGGCAGGCTGGCGTCCCCGCGCCCGGCGGCGGGGAACAGCCCCACGGGGGGCAGCGCCGGGGGCCGGGGGTGCTCCCACACCCCCCCCACACCCCCCCCAGCCGGTTGGAAGCAGCACCCCTCCTGCGGGAAGGGCCCGGGCTGGGGCAGCTCCCCAGCGCTCCCCGATGCGCCCAGCGGCAGCGCTTTAGCCCGGCCGCTCCCCCCTCCTCCTGCGGGCACTCACTAGGTTTTGCTCTGGAAGGGGTTTAGCTTTGGCCCTACAGAAATCTGAAACGAGCCGGCTGTGAACCCAGCCGAGGACATTCAGCTGTGCCCAAGCACGGGGGGTTTGCCCACGCACCTTTTCCTTCGACATGAAGGGTGCTGCGCTTGCAGGGTAACGGGGCGAAGGAGGGGGTCTGCAGCCAAAGGCGAAGCTCAAAGCACCAGTGCCGCCAGGCAGAGGACTAACCCAACGACAACACACCTGCTTGCAGAATCTGAACGCCCAGCTTTTGCCAAGGCAAACGGGCTGCAGAGCACAAAACGTGCCAGAGGACACGGCCAAAACTCCGGTGCCCACGGAAAGCCACGGCTGTGTTTCGGTGTCTGAGGCACAACTCAAAAAGGTGTCAATTCTTGCAAGCAGCCAAGGAAGATACTTCTTTATCCTGACGCTTTCTAAAGAGAATTAAAAGAAAAAAAAAAAAAAAAAAACAACAAACCCACAAACAACCCACACGAGGGGGAAAATAAATAAATAAGTAATTTAAAAAGCAAAGCTCACATTTTCCAGCAGCACACCCACAAACCACGCTGCTCTCCCCGGCTGCACCTCTCCAGGCAAAAAAAGCGATGGCAGCCTTGCAGAGCAGCCACCTCCCGCCTGACCAACACCTTCTCCTCGCCAGACACATCATCCACCTTCTCCTTTTGGAGCAGATCGTCAAAGCCTGGGCCCTTTGGAGAGCGTAGGGGGAATGGGAATGGGGCTGGGGGGGGCACAGGCAAGGGGTAAGCACAGACACATCTGCGGCGGAGCTGAGGCTCTCCAGATGCCGACTGCTAGGGGGATGAATTTTGTTTTTTAACATTAATATATTAAATTAATGTTAATCAATAGCAATTAAATTATTAATAAGTAACATAATGTTGTTTCAATATTATGTTAAAACACGCCATTTTACAACGAAGAAGAATATCTGCACCTTTACAACAACGTCCTTTAACATTTCTACAGCCTTATTTCGCCCCAAGCGTTCAAAGCAGCGCGTAAGGCACTGAGGTCCGGGACACTGCGGGGAGGGAGGGGGACAGGGATCGTTCCTGGTCTGTCAGCAAAGGAAAAAGCAAAGGGGGAGCGGGAGGGGAGCCGGGTTTGGATAGGGTTTGCATAACGGCCGCCGCCGCGGCAGGCACAAATTCAGACACTTAACCCCATCAGGCAGAGCGCGGGCAGGGGGGCTGGCTGATGCAGGACAAATGAAATGCCATCGCACCGGGGTCGGCTCTGTACCCCGAATCGCTGCCTTCTGCTGGAAAAGGGCCCTTTCCATCCCGTTGTTGCCCGGAGTATTTTCGCTCCAGGTCGCAGGGATCTCGCCCCAAGCGCTGGGTCCCACCCTCCGGCCAGGAAAGCAAACAAGTCCCTGGTGAATTTTAACTGCGGGAGAAGTTTGGGCGATGCTGGAAGTTTTGCTGCATCCCGAACCCGGCGGGGTCAGCCCTCGTCCCTGCCCCGCCGAACAAAGACCACGGGCAGATACCAAGGCAGCATTTAGGCACCTTTCCCATTGTTCTTTTGTTCCGCGCTTCCTCCGACACCCGGGCGCACGTACCGCCACGGTTTCTATGGTGAGTGCTCGTCCAATTTCAGTACCAGGCTATGAAACCACCCAACAGGCCCATTTCCTTGTTTCAGCATCCTTCTGCAGAACAAACAGCAGCACGGAAAAAAAAAAAAAAAAAAGAAAAAAGAAAAAAACAAAAAACCAACAAACAAAAAACCCAAGCAGCCGTCTCCCGCAGTCACGACCACAAGCCCCAGGACCGGTGCAGGGGCTGCTCAAAAGGATGGAAAACCAGCCCAGTTGTGTCTGGCATGATAGGATATATTTTTGAGATTTTTGGGATGGGCGCTTATAAGCGATGAGCTTAAAAAAATAATTATAAAAAAGAAAAAAAAAAAAACCTACTGGGTGCTTTTTAAAATGTGGCCACATGCCCTGCAAAGAGGAGCTACTGGGTGCCGGGGTCCCTTGAGAAAACGTGGCCCTCGTTTGGGGTTGCTCAGAGGGAGAAGAGACCTCCCAGGATCCTGGTCCCTAGTTCTCAGCCTTTATAGCCCTTTGTATTAGTATTTTGCATTACTCTGATTAAAATCAAAAGAAATCACAGTTTGTGTGGGGTTCTTTTGTCAATTTAAACATTCTCCTCACACCCTTTCGATACAGCTCTCTCTCTACTGATTTCTTAAGCTGAAAAATGCACAGACTTTTTCCCTATTAAAAAAAAAATAAAACTTCCCAAGCTCTGAGTGAAAAAAATGTTCTTCTACTTCTGTTTTGAAAAAGTTAAATATATTTATATATATGTGTGTATATATATATATATATGTATATGCTTGTGGGGGTTGGAAGCAGCATCTTAAAAGAAAAAAGATATTCTAGCATATGAGTTTAAGCATTCCAAAAAAATAAAAGCATTCCAATCACTCCCTACAAGCTTCTTCATCTATCCCAGACAGGACAGCGTCAGGACTAAAGACAAAACCTTTCCCCCCCATTTCTTTGTGGTAAAAGGGCCCTGACCCTCCTGCGTCTCGGCGCTTCTCCTGCTCTAGCAGGTCTCTTTCTCTATTCTAGAATATTTTAAAATGTTCTGTAGCTTGTTCATAATTAATAGGAACTTCACCTAATGGGAAATTAATGAAGCAAAAAGGAGAAGGCTAATTACGGTAATTTAAGATTGGCAGTGATTCTCAGACCCCACAAAGGATCGTGTTTTGCCACGCACGTGCCGAGGACACGCTGGCCCACGCAAAGCTTCACTGATAAATGACCTCTCGGGCGCTGCTGACCAGCCTCTCCAGGTGCTCTTTGCTATTTAACTTCCAGTGGAAGTCCACACAGATACGTGTCATTCAATAACGAGAGCAACAATAAAAAAACCCACACAGCTTGACAAAGAAAGCAAGCGTGCCTCCCTCAGAAGGACAAATTCCCCACGTTTATAAAGGTTGCTAAACCAACGGGGATCTTCTCACGTCCTGGAGAAAAAGAAAAACAAACTACAATAAAGGAAAAAAAAAAAAAAAAAAAGAAAGAAACAGATTTACTGCCTGGTATGACAGAAGATATCATGAAAAGGGCAGGTAGTTCCCTTTGGCGATGAACCCCGATTTCGTTTAAGTGTGAACTTTCAGATTTGACAAGTTTGGCATCGCAGAGACACAGCAGCTAAAACTGAATCCAGAGTCGCATATTTTAAATCCGCTTTTCTCAGCCTCCGAGGTCTGCCCAGCCAAACCAAGAGTGCAGCAAGCCTGGGTCCGCAGGAGGAGGGAGAAGCTGAAGATGTGCCAACATAAAATGATAGGAAACTATTAAATTCTACCTTTTTCTCCCCGTAAGCTATGCAAAATGTGATACTATTTCGATAGGAAAAAAAAAAAAAAAAACAAACAAAAAATAAAGATTTGTGCCCACGGATAAAACCTACCCCATACTACACTGGCCTTGCCATGAGTAATTCAGCCACGCAGAGCTCTGCCAGAGCCAGTGCACATAATAGCATGTATTTACTACATCAGTTAGAGGACTGTGAGTCATGAGCGTAAGTGCTTGGATCTGAAGTCAGTACCGGTTTTTTATTGTGTTCTAAAATATTTCCCACGCGGAAAATAATAAAGCCCCCCGTTTTTTAACGCTAGGCTTGAAAATAACACCACCATTTTCTAGCTGATTATTAAAAGATTTGGCTCTTACAAATTTTATTTGCATGTTGTTACAATAACGGAGTTAACTAACCCGCTAAGATGGCACTGTAAAAAGGCGACTAGTCCCGAAGCCCTAATTGGGGTGAACATGTTTACACTCCCTCATTCAAACCTGCTGGCAAAGGCAGGGGGCCGTGGGGGGAGGAGCAGCACCACGGGTTCCTGGGCATGAAGGAAGGCCAAATCTGCAGGAATCCTGCCCCATGGCAGTACCGCTGCTGACTTCAGCACAACCCCTTGATACGAACAGCACGCACTAGCTCAGGTTTCTTCGGCGTTAATTGTGGGTAAAAGAAAACGGAAGAGGAAAGAACGGCGTCCGGCGTGTTTGGCGCCTGAAGTCCCCGTTACGCTCCCGTCACCCTTGGCTACGAGCCTTAACCACAACGAAGCCACCGAGGCGCATCAGCAAGGAGCTCCGAGCTGCCCCGAAAAGCCCCTGGAGCCGCACCGAAGCACCTGCCGTGCTGCGGAGGAGACCCCTAAAGCCTTGCAGGGCTCCCCAGGGACCAGGCAGCTCCGGGGCTCGCTGGCAGCCCGAGCCAGAGGAGTCCTTCCAGAAACCAGCGTGCACGCAGCGGTGTTTTGGCCAAAGAGCAGCCGGGCTGGATTTGTGAAGGCTTTTGGGGGGGACCGCGGAGGCGAGGGGAGGGGTTGGAGGGACCGCAGGGAGCGCCTACGGCCCGCTGGAGGGAGGGGAAGGTGCTCTGCTAAAGGGGGGGACCCAAATTGCTTCGGTACACGGCGACGGCCCCGAAGGGGGTGGCGGCGGCGGCACGGTGGGAGGCTGGGGGGGGGAGGTGGGGGGGGGATGCAGGACGTGCCCCCCGCCCCGCGCCTTACCTTCACTGAAGACAAAATCCGCGGTGATGTCGAAGGGCTGGACACGCACTTCCGACAGCAAGAGCTGGACGGGCTTCTGGCGGTCGCTGGAGACGAGGGCGATGGCCTGCTGCGCCTGGCACTCGTAGGACTTCCCGGCCGGGGTGAGCAGGGCGGAGAGCCGGTGCGAGCTGGCCGTGTGCCTCCCAGCTGGCCCAGGGGCAGAAGCGGCAAGAGGTCAGGTCCCGTGGCGGGGGGGCGCCGACGTGGCTTAACGAGCAAAAGCTAACGAGCGGAACGCAAGGGGGGGACGCGGAGGCTTAGAGCTGCCTCTTCCCCTGGGGTGGGACCGCGATTTCGGCACGGCACCCCCAGGCAGACCAGGGCAGCTCCCGCCTGCTCGCGAGCAGAAACGGAGGGCGACGGGGGGGAGAGCTGCCGCCAGCTGCGCTCGTGTCGCGGGACTGGAAGTCCACGAAGCCGGAGGAATGGATTCTGGTGATGCACGTGCAGGTTTCGGCCTCGGACCGTGCTCGTGCTCCCTACACTCGGGGAAGAGCCATTCCCACGGCTGCGCTCGGGCTCCGAATTCAGCTGGGGAGGAGCAGTGCAACCCGGGGACCTCGCTGCGAAGCCAAACAGGCCATAAAGCCCTTTCTGAAAAAACAACAGGACCCCTGCACCCACGGGTCGATTACCAGCAAAATATTTTCCCATCACCTCCATCTCGTTTTACAGATGAAGGGCGAATGTGTCTCGGCAAGGTGGAATGAGGGATGCTTTCCGCCTCCTGCAGCCCTTTGTTCCCCTCCAGCACCAGAAAGACAATCACTCTTTCGCATTTGCGGAGGGTGATGAGGCACGGCCACCACCACCGTGTTTTGGGGACACAAAGAGTAGAAAGACCAGTGGGAAACCCAGCTCCATGGCCAGCGTGCCACAAACTCTTAACATACCGTTCACCAGACTTTGAAAATCTTGAGCACGAACAACTTGCAAATGACAGTATTTCAACTTGCAATACAAGGCAACGCGTTTCTGAGCAGCAATGAAATAAAATCAAAATGCAAGCTTAAAAAGAAGGAAACCCCGGGGAGAAGGAGAGGCGGCTGTTGGGTGGAGGTGCGTAGGGGTGTGGATACTGGTGTCATCGTTATCTGGGGAAACCGCTGCTTTCCCACCTATTCAACCATCACGAGAACCAAGGAGATAATTAACCTTAAAAAACATCTTCAGCAGGGAAGGAGGCGAATTTTTCCAGCCCGGGCGGCCCCCTTCCTGCTGCCCACCCTCCCGGGCGGGCCTGGGGCAGCGCCAGTCAGAGGTTGGGCTCTCCCTCCCGCGGCAACAGCGGTGATTAAAAACAAAAAATAAAAAAAAGGGGAGGAAAAAAAAAAAAAATAATAATACTAATACGCGCTGGAAAACCGGCAGCCGGTCCCGGCTTTGTCGGGCGGGTTTGGGCTTTCTTTTTTCCCTGTTAAAGTGCGTTCAGGCGAGTAGCCCGCGGGGTGTCTGTCCGTGTGTGTGTCCCCCTCCCCGGCTCCGCGTTCGCCGCCCCCCCGGGACCGTGTGTGAGTGTGTGTGTGTGTCCCGAGGCGCTTACGGTTCACGGCGTCCTTGAAGTAGGTGCGCTCGGCGGTGTCGTAGGTGAACTGGATCCGGCTGAGCCTCCAGAAAGCCTCCTGCCCCCGGGACGTGTTGTGCCCCTCCTGCCGACACAGCGCCGGTCGGGACCCCGGCGATACCGCCCTGCCCGCCCCCCCCCCGGCACCCCCCCCCCCCGGCACCCCCCCCCCCCGGCACCCCCCCCCCGGCACCCCCCGCCCCGTACCTTCAGGAAGAAGAGTTTGAGGGTGTACGCTTGCTTCAGCCAGGAGATCTCCAGCTCCGACTCGTTGGCGCTGCACTTGCCCTTCATCTCGGCGCCCCGCGACAGCGGGATATCGGCTTGTTCCGTGATCCGCTGGAAAACGGGGAGCGGGGTTCAGGGGAGGGGGGGGGGGCCCCGGACGCCCACAGGCCCCCGGCTGAATATCTTCGGAGGGGATAAAGGACTTTCCAAAACTACCGGCGGATTTACACACGCACACGCACACACACACACATCTCCCCCTCTCCCCCCCCCCCCCCCCCGCCAAGTCCTGCCGCGACAACGTGCAGCGGCTGCAGCTCTGCGAACCCGAACACCACCCCCCCCCCCCCGAAATTGGACCCCACTCACACCCACGCCCTGGACCCCACTCACATCCACGTGGTTGCTGGCCTGCGTGTCGTAGGGGACGATGAACTTGGCGGCGAATTCCGCCATGAGACATGTCGTCCGGTTTTCCCGCACCACGAAAATGTCCTTTTCGGGGTTGGGGGAGAGCCCGGAGAGATTTTCAACTTCTTGCTCGGCAGCCAGGCGAGCCGCGGCGTCTGCGGGCAGAGAGGCGCTGAGCGGCGGCAGCGCCCGCCCCACCCCCCTTCCCCGAGCCCCTGTCGCGACAGGGCGTCTCTGTCGCGATAGAGCGGGCAGTGGCGGTGGGGCAGCCGGTGGCGGTGAAGCAGGACCGGTGCTCTAGCAGCGCCGGGTCTGTCTGAGCGCCAGCGGCTGCCTCATCGCGACAGGGCTCCTTGTCGCGACTCGCCGTGCCGCCGCGGTACTCACGCAAGAGGAAGAGCAGCCCCGGGAGGCGCCCCCCGACCATCCTCCCTGCTCAGCCCCGGCGCGTCCGCGGCGGCTGCTGCTGCTCCGAAAGGGTCCGGGGGAGGAAAGAAAAAACAAAAAAAAAACAAAAAAAAAAAAAAAAGAAAAAGAAAAAAGAAGAAATACTAAAAAAAAAAAAAAAAGGCAAAAAGAAAAGAAAAAAAAAAAAGGCTGAAACACCTCCTTTCTCAGGAGCTGCACAGGCTGCAAAAGCACTCTGCTGCGGAGTGGCGGGGAGGAGGGACGGGGAAGAGTGGGGGGGGGGGGGGAGGAGGAGGAGGAGGAGGAGGAAGAGAAGGAGGACGAGGAGGAGGAGGGGAGATGCCGGCAGAGCTGATGGAGGCGCCCACGCCGAGGGACGGGGCGGGGAGGAGGGATTCCCCCCTCCGGCGTTGGGGGGGGGGGGGGGGGGCCGCCGGCCCCCGCCGAGGGCTGGGGGGGATCCCCGCCGAGGGCCCGTCTCCCCCCCCTCCCTATACCGGCCCGGGGCGCACAGGCTCCCCCTTCCCCCGGGGTCCCGCCACCCCCTCCCCAAATTCCCTGTCGGTGCCCCCCCCGGGGACAACCGCTGTGGCCGGGCAGCGGCGGAGGCAAAGGGGCCGCTAAACCGGGGGGGCGGCGGGGGGGATCTACCTAGTCCAGCGCCGGCTGCTCACGGAGCGTCAGTAATTTCGGTGGAGCCGAACAGCTGCTTCGTCTTTTAATTTAGAAGGAAAACGCGCAGTTTTGGTTTTTGTTGTTTTTTTGTTTGTTTGTTTGTTTTATTTTGGTTTGGTTTGGTTTGGTTTGGTTTGGTTTGGTTTGGTTTGGTTTGGTTTGGTTTTTTTTTTGGCGTGGCAAGGTCAGAAGCAAACTCGGCACCCTTTTGCCAAGTGGCCGCCGGCCCACCGGAGCTCTTGGGATGTCGCGACAGACCATAAAACGTCCCGTAACATCCAACCCACCGGGGAGGTGCGTTAGGACACCGCGGGCTGTGCCGATGCAGAGCGGGGTTTGGGGAGGGAAGGGATCGGGCACCCCGGGGGGCGAGCCGTACCGGGGGGCTGCGAAGGGTTTGTCCCGGCAGGATAAAAGCTGGGGACACCCCCATCCCTGCCGGCTTCGGGGGTGCGCAACCCCCTTTATTCCCTGTAAAACCGGCGCCTGCTCTTCCTCCCTCCCAACCCGGGCTGGAGGGGCGGGGGGGGGGGATGTGAAACGAGCCCCCCCAGCTTGTGAGCAGAGGGGGGAGTCCGGGAGGAGTAGGGGTACCCCCCGCCCTGAGCCCCACTGCCCCCCAAAGCCACCAGGGAGCCGCCTTTCCCTTCCACTGGGCCGGGCGACCTTAAAATTTTTTTTTTTTTTTTTTTTTTTTTCCCCCACCTCTCATCAGCAGCTTTTACAGTCCTTTAATGCGCAGCCACCCTCGCCCCGGTACGAAGAGCACACCCGAATATTTACAACTTACAGAGACACCAGTCCCAGTTGCAGCGGGGAACAGGAGCCCCACACCAAGGACGTGTCTTTTTTTAGAGAGCAGCCAAAGGGCCAGCAGCTATTCGGCGGCTTCCCTAGCAGTTCGCATTTCTAGTTCAGGAAAAAGAATCTGCAGGAAAGGGGCCAGTGTTTGGCGAAGCAAGGTGGCGCAGGGGGAGTTTGTGAGTTTGCACACCTGCAGAGACGGGTTTTCCTGCTGGGAAACAGCCCTCTAAAAATAACGGAAGATACAGAAGGAACATACTGATTTTTGTAACTGTTCTGTTGAAATTCCTTTTCTGCTTGCTGTACATATTAAATGTTATATTCTGGCCATTTCCTCTCTCTCCCATTTCATGATCAAGAGTCATTCCTGCCCCCCCAAAACAGAGCCAGACCTGTGTCGGTTGTGATACAGGATTAACCTGCAGATAATAGTTTCAGGGGACTATATAAAGGAGAAAAAAAAGCCCCAACAAAACAGTCTTCTGTGTGTGGCTCTGACTGCAACAGATTTTACTCGTGTGGTGATTTTAATGCTGGGCTTCCTCAGATCTTTCACTGATGACCTCAGTGTTTAGCCTCTATTTCCTCCTCTAGCTGCCTATTTAATTTCCAGTTTTTGGAGGTTTCTCGGTAGCTTCTCAGCCTCCAAATAAACGTATGATCCTGAGCAGCTGCCCCCCGCACCCAGCTGTGTTAGAGCCAGGGGTGAGCCTGACCCACGGCCTCCCCCCCCACCCCGAGCCCCACGGCCCGGCCGCTCCCCCGGCACCCGCCATCTGCCCAGCACAACGAAAAAAGGCCCCGGCTTCAGCCACAATTCCCGCTTCCAGCCTGCAGAGCCACGGTTATCCTGCTCTCCACAGCAAGAAAAAAAACATCCAACCAAAAATTAAAAAAAAAAAAAAAAAAAAAAAAAAAAGGGAAAGGCCTAAGATTTCCTAACACCAAGAAAGCCCCCGAAACCTTGGCAGAGCAGGAAGGAGGGAGCCGGGGCAGCATGAAGTGACCCGGCACGCTGGGCCCGGGGCCGATTTGTGGGCGCAGGTGGCCTCACCTGGAGCCGGGCCTGCAACCCGCCCTCGCCCCCGGGCTGTGGGGGCTCCGAAGGCCGAACCCCCCCCGCTCCCCCCGTCACCCCAGCAGTAACCCTTGCCAGCCCCCCCGCCTGGCCCCGGGAGCAGGGGATCCCCGACCGAGCTGGCTGGGGGATGCGCCTGCCACCGGTGGGATGTGTCACGGGTGGTGGGCCGCGGCCCGTGAGGAGATCGGCCCCCCCCGGGGGTAATTTGGGTCTCTGGCTCGATTACCCTCGAGTGGGGGTGGGGGTTTAAACAACCCCCCCTTGGAAACAGTCGAGTTAATGACCAACCCCCAATTTACCGTACGTGAAGGAATAGCGGGCTGCCTGCGAGGGCAGGGTGTCATGACCCTCCCCGTCTGAAGGGATTCGGAGAGGGAGGATCGGCCCCTTCCCTCGACGAAATTTCCCTCAGGTGGAATCCACCACTGCGGCAGGGAGGGACATTTTAAACCGCTTTAGCTCGGTATCAGTGTTCCAACTGATTAGCCTATTCCGTCTCAATGGAAATTTTCACCTCATTACATTAGCGGCCAAACTTCAAATAATTTTTGAATCACATACTACTTAAGCAGTATTTCAAAACACTTCACTGACAGGATTCATCACTTAATTTCAAATTACTGTCTGCGTTTTATGCTAAATTGCCAAGGGACGAAACGCGTAACAGCTCTGGGCGCGGAGGCCGCCCAGCTCCGCGGTTTCGCAGCAGCGCGTTTTCTCCCCGACTTGATAAATGCCTCGCCCCTGGCTGAGCAGCGAGCACAGACCCAGGAGGCCGTGGACAGTCTCTGCCAGCCTTCCAAACCCAGCGCATCCCTGACCCACAGGGAAATACTCGCCTGGGAATTAAGACGCGCAGTTTTGATTTTCCTCAGAGAGGGACGTGACCCCCACGCCAGCCCTCTGATCCCAGCGATTCCTGTGGCAGGTTCAGCAGCGCCCTCCAGCCGGGCTGTAAGCGAGCCTCAGGAAACAAACCAGCGACGTTCAGTGCTTCTCCGTCCAGTTCCCCCCCAGTCCAGTCTGTCATTTGCTTCTCCTTACTGGCTAGAAACCACTGCGGTGGTAGGCAACAGTATAAATTCCAGCTCGCAGCACTGTCTCCACCAGCTGTGTTTTAGAAGACGTTTTAATTTAAAAAATAAAATAAAATATAAAATAAAATAAAGGAAATAAAAGAAAAATAAAATAAAAATTAAAATAACATAAAATAAAATAAATAAACATTAAAATAAAATTAAATTAAAATAAAATAAAAATAAAATAAAATTTAAAATAAAATAAAAATAAATAAATAAATAAATAAAATAAAAAAATAAACCACTGCCTTGTTTGAGACGCCTGAAGATCCTGTCCAGCCTGCTCTGAAAGCACTGCTGCTCCCAGCTCCCGCCAGCACTCGAGCCAAACCCAGAGAGCAGGGAAAGCTGCTCCCAGTACCCGACTTGTCTTTAAAACGTTACGGATCGTAAGGAGCAGGAGTTGCCTCAGAGTGGGAATCACAAGTTTAAACCCTGCCTTAGACACCTGAAGATTTCACTGACCTCTGTCGCGGTTTCATTCCCTACCGGGACAGTTCTGTGGTGCCGCGAGGACCGATGCTGCGCAACGCTTCTATCACTTAAAAGAAATAAGACTCCTTTGAATGAATAAGCTGTGATAGAAATATATTTACACTATGAACATTTTTACAGGAAATACAACTTGCTAGAAATCCGTAAATAGTAATACCACCACCCTACAATTCACTACAGTCAAAACTAAAGGTTTTTAATTTTTAAGGTTTTTATTAGAGAAGTTGAAAGTTTCATCTCAGGACTGACAATAACATAATTATCTCTTTTCATTTACTTTGTTTATAGGAATATGTAGAATTTGTTTGTACAAGCATATACAACAAAGTAATTGGTGCTTAGTACATTGAAATCAGGAATCTGATTCGTTCTAAACTACCAGTTTTCCATGCAGTCATCTTTGAATTGGCAGCATGGACAAATTCCAAGCGGAATGCTTACATGCATTGTTTTGCAATATAACTACAGCAAGCTCTGGAAACATGCAAATTAACACATTAGCAAATTGTTTTTATATCTAATGGACATAAAAAGGTTATTCCTGATATGAAATTCTGAAAATCTGCATAAATACTTCTGTGTAAAATTAAATTAGTTATGTACTTTTCTTTTACTACAAGTATCAAGAATGCCCACGTAATTAATATACACACATATATATAGAGACCTTGTTATGCTAAAAGTCTTTGTAATTCATCAAACAATATTCTGTGCCGTACATTTATTCAGTATTTACCAGCTAGTAGAATGACTGTGGTCATAGAGTAGGCATTACAGTCTTGGTAGCATTTGTATCACATGCAAACATACTCTTAGCATTTCTGTTGACTAATTTTATCACGTGGCAACACGGGTGTGATTTTCTACAATGCTGTGATTCTGAAGTGTATAAATACTTTTTACATTTTCACAGTTACAAACTTTTTTGCCAAAAGCCATTTAAACAAGCTTTAAGTTACAA